AAAAATTTTTTTGAGAGACAGGGTCTCTCTCACTCGTAGGCAGGAGTGCAGTGGTAGAATCATAACTCACCGTAACCTTAACTTCTGGGTTCAAGTGATCCTCCCACCTCAGCCTCCCAAGTAGCTGGGATTACAGACTTGTGTCACCATGCTAATTTTAAAATTTTTTGTAGAGGCAGGGTGTCTCACTATGTTGCTTAGGCTGATCTCAAACTGTTTGCTTCAAGCAATTCTCCCACCTCAGCCTCCTAAAGTGCTGGAATTATAGGCCTACAATTCCTTTAATACTCCCCAAAACCCCATGCATTATGTTTTACTATCACCGTTTTACAGATAAGGAAACCAGAGTTCAGCAAGGTCAAGTGCCTTGCCATTGCCTATGAGTCCATTTTCATGCTGCTGATAAAGACTGGGTCATTTATAAAGAAAAAGAGGTTTAATGAAGTCACAGTACCACGTGGCTGAAGACGTCTCACAGTCACGGTGCAAGGCGAAAAGCACATCTTACCTGGCAGCAGGTAAGAGAGAATCAGAGCCAAGCAAAAGGGGAACCCCTTATAAAATCATCAGATCTTCTAAGACTTATTCACTACCTTCAAAATTTAAAAAAAAAGAAAAAAATAAATCAAGGACCAGAGACTTCAAAATTAAAAAAAGAAGAGAGACTTATTCACTACCATGAGAACAGTATGGGGAGACTGCTCCCATGATTCAATTATCTCCCACCAGGTCCCTCCCCAACAACACATGGGAACTAAGGGAACTACAATTCAAAATGAGATTTGGGTGGAGACACAGCCAAACCATATTACCCTGGTTCCCATAGCTAGAATCGATGGTCAGGATTCAAACCAAGAACGCTTATGAACTGAACTCATAAGAGTGGAACTGTGGCAGGAGGCTGTGACCCAGAGAGGTATTATGGCAGCTTACCAAAAGATACTCAGTAAAAGGCAGGAAGACTAGACCAAGCTTGTCCAACCTGGTTCCCCAAGCTGCATGCAGGCCAGGATGGCTTTGAATGAGGCCCAAATGCAAATTTGTAAACACGAGATTTATGCACAAACTGTTTTTCTGTTTTAGCTCATCAGCTATTAGTGTTATTTTATGTGTGGCCCAAGACAATTCTTCCCATTTGGCTCAGGGAAGCCAAAAGATTGGATACTCCTGAACTAGAACCCAGGGTGGGGACTGGCTAAGAACCCCAAGCCAGGGTCTTTCCTCCAGCGGAAGCCATAGTGCTTCCCCAAGGCCAAGACAGTGAGTGATTTAAGAATGGAATTACTGGCTTAGAAGCCAAAGTTTGACTGTAGTATCTCCAACTCTGGTTTCCGTTTTGAAAATCAGAATTCCTTGGTAATGGAAAACTCAAAATAGGAGAGCCTGCCCTTAGGGTATTTGCAGAGGGCTTTGAAGTGGTCTCAAATTACTGAACAGTGAAGATCAGGTACAGTTAACAAAGCAACCAGTGCTGAAGCAGGTCTCAAGGGCAATTCACATTTATTTCCTGATCATGCTGACTAAACATACTTCAAACACAGCAGAAGGTCAAGAGTCTGTTTTGAAGGTAAAGCCGTTTCTTGCCAACAGTGAACAGTGGTCCACGAAGAGTAACTTAAGCATCATCTTCAAGCTGAGGCTCCAGCTCTGGGCAAACAGCTGCTGGGTGGACCTGGTCCTTCTGGCCTGGATGGGGCCTCCAAGGAACTACTTGTCCTCATACTTGTGCTTGATGTGTTTCCACAGCTTCTACATTTTAAAGACAAGAGCCACAGATTTTGACCTTTGCCTCTCACATTTTACAACTACTCTCACTAACGTGGTCTCTAAAACGAGCTTGGAAGAAACACATGCCATGTCCGGATTAAAAACATACACCTGCAGTGAGCAAACTGGAAGCAATCCTAGGTTTAATGCACAATTTTCTTTTTCTTTTTTGAGATGGAGACTTGCTCTGTCAACCAGGCCGCAGTGCAGTGGTGCAATCTTGGCTCACTGCAACCTCCATTCACTGCAACCTCTACCTCCTGGGTTCAAGCGAGTCTCCTGCCTCAGCTTCTCAGGCAGCTGGGAATACAGGTGTGTACTACACAGTTACTTTTTGTATTTTTGGTAGAAACGGGATTTTGCCATGTTGGGCAGGCTGGTCTCGAATTCCTGACATCAAGTGATCCACCCACTCTGGCCTCCCAAAGAGCTGGAATGACAGGCGTGAGACACTCACCCAACTTTCATGCACATTCTTGGCATTTATAAAAACGATGATGCTTTCAATCACCAGGTGAAGTGGAAAGGGATGATCTTAAGGAAATTCGGGTTGAGATTGAGGGAAGTGCCCCAAAGCACACAATCATTAATAAAAATAGTCTGGAAGACATCTCAGTTCAACTCCCAGGTATTACTAAAGAGGTTGTAAGTGCATAGCCCCAAAGTATTTCACCATGAGCAATTTAAAACATTTCCTAGGACTTAAATTGGCTGAAATTCTCATTCCCAAAAGCACAAGAGGCTAAGCACTGTGGCTCACGCCTGTAATCCCAGCATTTTAGGAGGTTAAGTCAGGAGGACTGCTTGAGCTCGGGAATTCTAGATCAGCCTGGGCAACACGGTGAAACCCCATCTCTATAAATAATACAAAAATTAGCCGGGCGCGGTGGCTCACACCTGTAATCCCAGCACTTTGGGAGGCCGAGGCGGGTGGATCACGAGGTCAAGAGATCGAGACTATCCTGGTCAACATGGTGAAACCCCGTCTCTACTGAAAATACAAAAATTAGCTGGGCATGGTGGCGTGTGCCTGTAATCCCAGCTACTCAGGAGGCTGAGGCAGGAGAATTGCCTGAACCCAGGAGGCGGAGGTTGTGGTGAGCCAAGATCACGCCATTGCACTCCAGCCTGGGTAACAAAAGCGAAACCCCGTCTCAAAAAAAAAAAAAAAAAAAAAAAAAAAAATTAGCTGGGCGTGGTGGTACATGCCTGTGGTCCCAGCTACTTGGGAAGCTGAGTTGGAAGGATCACTTGAACTCAGGAGGTCAAGGCTGCAGTGAGCTGTGATCATGCCACTGCACTCCAACCTGGGCGACAGTAAAACCGTTTCTCAAAAAGAAAAAAAAAAAAGTCTGGATGCAGTGGCTCATGCCTGTAATCCCAGCACTTTGGGAGGCTGAGGTGAGCGAATCACAAGGTCAGGAGGTCGAGACTAGCCTGGCCAACATGGTGAATGCTCGTCTCTACCAAAAAAATACAAAAATTAGCCAGGCATGGTGGCATGTGCCTGTAATCCCAGCTACTCAGAAAGCTAGGCAGGAGAATTGCTTGAATCTGGGATGTGGAGGTTGTAGTGAGCCGAGATCGCTCCACTGCACTCCAGCCTGAGCGACAAAGAAGACTCCATCTCAAAAAAAAAAAAAAAAAAAAAAGCAGAGGGAAAATGGGTGAGTTATAACAGCATACTTAGCTGTCTTTCCAGATCAATGGGAATGGTCAACAGAACCACTTTCAAGAGATGGGACAGTGGCAATGCCTTCACATGGGCAGGAAGTTGCATTGGTCACAGGTGGCATAGTACTAGTGGACAGTGCCTTCCCAGGCTGCACTCAGAGAGCCTCAAATTAAAAACCCAAGTGAGTGCTGGAACAGGGCTATATGTATAAGGCCTACTCCAATACAGACATAATTTACCAACATAAAGTATACCTTGCACCTAGCAAAGTGCCTGGTACATTAAGAGTTAAAAATGTGTTGTGATTCCTGTCTCCTGCCTCCACTTTCTCCTAAGGAATTTAAGCAATGGTTATTTTTCAGTGGTACCACCTACCAGGCATGTGACTCCCGGCCTACATCTCATGTAATCCTCACAACAGTGCTCAGGTCATTATTCATATCTCCATTTCACAATTAAAACTGGATCTCAGAGAAGAAAATTGGCCAACTTAATGCCACAGTTAAGTGACAAGGACCAGTGTTCCTATCCAAAGCTTTCTGACTTCATAGCCCCCCACCTCATTAATACTAACGCCTACGTGGGAAGCCTTGGGACCGGAAGCGCCATCTTGAAACGACAGCCACGGCGTCTAAGGTGTCTAATGTCCTTTTCACGACCGTTGCCTGCTCAAATCTGCCCTATTAACCCTGAGACAGAGGTCCCGTTTCTGGCCCTGACCTGCCCCTGGCTTCCTAGTGGTGTGCACTTAGTAAGTCCTTTGATCTAACTAGCCTTTAGTTTTCGCTTCTGAAAAGGGACAAGTGGGTACGTGGAGTGGCACAAAGCAATACTTACAACCCCTGTAGTGAGACAGATTAACCTCGCTTAACGTTTTATAATTCACACCAAGCCAAGAGGACAGACGGCAGACTCGAGACAGAAGACACCGACAGTTTACCCCTTACCCCCTTCCTGGTGAAGTTAGACTGAGTCCCGTCCCCCCTCAACTCCCACCGTCAACCCTCAGGCGGGCCCAAGGTCAGGGATGGCCCAGGCCCTCACCCCCTCGTTGATGTGGTCGTAGATGGCGTCCGCGCCTTGATCGAAGGCGCGCTCGAAGAACAGGACGCCCACGACGATGGTGAGGGCGAAGGTGGAAGTCCTGCGGAACAGCAGGGAGTAGACTTTCCCAGTCAACGTCTGGGCCGCCATGTTCCTTCACAGTCTATCTCGCGCCACTGCGCCTGCGCCGGGGCCGACCTCGTTCTCCAAAGACCCTAGACGTGCAACACTTTATGGGATTTGTAGTTCCTCTGAATCTCAGTGTTAGTTGTTTTGAAACACAGAGGTACTGCTGTCCTGGGCATGAGAAAAAAAAAATCTCATGAGATTCATATGAGAATAGCCCAGATAATCTGATCAAATTTATTACCCAATTTTTCTTCAGAATTCCTGGCTGTTTAAATAGGCTAAACTACAACTCTCAGAAGCCCTCGCGCGCGATCACCTTCCCCCCAACCCCGCCCTCTGCCTGGTCCCGTCTTAGATTCCCAAAGCTCTCTGGGAAAGGCGAACTGATAGCCAAGGCGGGACTACGAATCCCAGCAAGCAGTGCGCGACGCGAGGAAGCTGGAGGAGGAGCCCGGAGCTATAGCCACCAGGGAGCCGGGTACTTTCTTCGGCGGGACATGGAGGTAGGGCGAGTCCTAGTCTCTTTCCCCTCGCACGGAAGACTTGAGCTCTTCCTTCTCTGTCCGTGCACCCCGCGGAGAGACGCACCAATTCTTGGGATGGGAAGTGTATAGAGGGGCGAGCGGGTTACTGAGACCCTGGCTCATCTCTTCGCCTTGTCCCCTCCACCAGCGCCTTGTCCCCTCCACCAGCCCCAAGTTCAGGCCAAGAGTTGGAGCCTGTGGCAAAAGTCTTGTCCTGGAAGTTGAATCCTCCACCCTGGCTTAAGGGCAGGGACAGATCGGCCCTGCTTCCTGTTCCTCTCATCCCTGGGCTTCGCACCTGGCAACCCTGGCCTGGAAGGCTGGAGACTTGGGACGTGCTTGGGATAGGAAAGAGCAAGAGCTTGGAGTACCCTGGGTATTCAACGCATGTTTTCCCAGCGCCAGTTCTGGTCCCTGCTCTGGGGACCCAGCAGTGAACGAGTCCCTGTTCTCACAGAGCGCTCAATCTACTGAGTGGGCGGATGGGGAGGTACAAGACATGAAATGGATAGTGCTTTGGTTGACTGGAGAGGTAGTGGTGGTGACATTGCACCCAGGGTGGCCGCTCTGGGGGTGACACTTGACTAGAGATTTGAATGAATAGTAGCGAATTGAACAGGAAAACGTTGGTGCAGAGGCCTTGAGGCGGCTGCAGTCCTGGGATGTTTGAGGGAAAGAAGTAGAGTGGACTGTGAAGAGGTGAACTCATGTCTGGTCAGCTCATGCCTGGCCTTGTAACCCACGTTAAAGAGTCTTGTTTTCTTTGTTTTTGTTGTTAGAGATAGGCTCTCACTGTGTTGCCTAGGCTGATCTCCAACTCCTGGGCTCAAGCGATCTTCCTGTCTTGGCCTCCCATGGTGCTGGGACTACAGGTGTGAGCCACCGCGTCTTGCCAAGCAGTCTTGTTTTTTTTTTTTTTTTTCCTAATTGTACTATGAAGCCACTGAAGGGTTTTTGGCAGAAAGGTAACAAGATTTAATTTACACTTTAATGTCATCTTTCTGGCTGGTCTCTGGAGAGTGGACTTCGAGGGGGAAGTTATGGTAGTAGATCAGTTGAGGGAAGATGGGTGGTTATTTTTAATTTTTTTTTCCTTTTGAGATGGAGTCTCACTCTGTCACCCAGGCTGGAGTGCAGTGCCACGATCTTGGCTCACTGCAACCTCCACCTCCCAGGTTCAAGTGATTCTCCTGCTTCAGCCTCCCAAGTAGCTGGGATTACAGGTGCGCACCACCACACCCAGCTAATGTAGAGATGAGGTTTCACTGTGTTGGCCAGGCTGGTCTCAAACTCCTGACCTCAAGTGATCGGCCACCTCGGCCTCCCAAAGTGTTGAGATTATAGGCATGAGCCACCACACCTGGCCTGATGGGTGGTAATTTAGATTAGGGTGTGGAGCAGAGCAGTGATCAGATTTGGGATGTAATTTGGGGGGTAGGGCAGACAGAGCAAGCTAGCAGATGTGTGTAGGGTGCACAGGAAAGAGGAATCGAGAAAGATATCTAAATTTTTTTTAAAAAAAAACAGAGTCTTGCTCTGTCGCCCAGGCTGGAGTGCAGTGGTGTGATTTCAGCTCACTGCCACCTCTGCCTCAGCCTCCCGAGTAACGAATTACAGGTGCCTGCTACCACACCTGGCTAATTTTTTGTATTTTTAGTAGAGATGGAGTTTCACCATCTTGGCCAGGCTGGTCTTGAAGTCCTGACCTGATGATCCACCTGCCTCAGCCTCCCAAAGTGCTGGGATTGTAGGCATTAGCCACCACGCCTGTCTATTTCTATTATTACATTGTAATATATAATGAAATAATTATACAACTCACCATAATGTAGAATCAGTGGGAGCCCTGAGCTTGTTGTCCTGCAACTCAACAGTCCCTTCTGGGGGTGATGGGAGGCAGTGACAGATCATCAGGCATTAGATTATCCTAAGAAGTGCACAACCTAGATCCCTTGCATGCACAGTTCACAGTAGGGTTCACGCTCCTGTGAGAATCTAATGCTGCTGATGATCTGACAAGAGACGAAGCTCAGGCAGTAATGCAAGCAATAGGGAGCAGCTGTAAATATAGAGGAAGCTTTGCTCACTCACCTGCCACTCACCTCCTGCTGTGCAGCCCCTAGCACCTAACAGGCCAATGACCTTTACCAGTCCATGGCCTGGAGGCTGGGATCCCCTGCTTTAAACCACATGTTTCAACTTAGAAATTATTATTCAATACCTAAATAAGAAAAATGAGGCTGGATGTGGGGGCTCACGCCTGTAATCTCAGCACTTTGGGAGGTCAAGGCGGGTGGATCACTAGGTCAGGAGTTCAAGACCAGCCTGGCCAAGATAGTGAAACCCTGTCTCTACTAAAAATACAAAAATTAGCCAGGCATGGTGACACGTGCCTGTAATCCCAGCTACTGGGGAGGCTGAGGCAGAGAACTGCTTAAACCCAGGAGGCGGAGGTTGCATTGAGCTGAGAGCATGCCATTGCACTCCAGCTTGGGTGACAGAGTGAAACTCCATCTCAAAAAAAAAAAAAAAAAGAAAGAAAAAGAAAAAAATGACCTTAACTTTTCCTTTGATTAGTATTTGAACTCAAGTTGAAGATTCTGAATTTCTGAAGACACTCAGCCGTATTTACAGCCTAATTTTATTCCTGCCAACATTTTAAATCTATTTGTAAACTTAATATATTTGATTTTCTTTTTAAGTACTTTATAACATAACAAGCACAACTTTCCCCAGAATACTTAAACAGTTATTACAAAATCTAATCAATTAAACTTATAATGAATTTCAAGTCCTTGTAAATAATTCTTTTTACAGACTTAGTTAACTTTTCTTGTGCCAGTGGCTCTTAGTATAAGGAGCTAAAAAGAACACAAACAAATAAACAGTCTGTATTTCTGACATGAAATAGGAATATATGGGGGGCCCCTTAGTAACCTTTACAGCACCCCAGGTGATTATGATATACAGTTCATTTTCAATCACTGCTAACCTCTCAATCTAAAATCACAACTCATATAAATTACTGACGTATATTTTATCAAGTACTGTCTCTATATTTTAACTTCTGTATTTTAAATTGGAATCAAAATACTTATCTGTTAGACACTCAACATACCATATTTTTTTCAATATTACAGATAATTTTTGTGTTTTGTTTTGAAACAGTATCTCACTCTCTTACCCAGGCTTGAGTGCAATGGTTGCCATCTTGGCTCACTGCAGCCTCCATCTCCCCAGGCTCAAGCGATCCTCCTACCTCAACCTCTTGAGCAGTAGCTGGGACCGCAGGCCAGAGCCCACACCACCATGTCTGGCTAATTTTTTGTTGAGACCTAGTCTTGATTTTGGTGATTGCAGTGGCATGATCTTGGCTCACTGCAACCTCTGCCTCCTGGGTACAAACAGTTCCCTGCCTCAGCCTCCGAAGTAGCTGGGATTACAGGAACCTGCCACCATGCCTGGCTAATTTTTGTATTTTTAATAGAGACAGGGTTTCACCATGTTGGCCAGGCTAGTCTTTTTTTTTTTTTTTTTTTTTTTAAAGATGGGGTTTCACCATGTTGGTCAGGCTGGTCTTGAACTCCCGACCTCAGGTGATCTGCCCGCCTTGGCCTCCAAAGTGCTTGGATTACAGGTATGAGTCACCACGCCTGGCCAGCCAGGCTAGTCTTGAACTCCTGACCTGTGATCCACCCACCTCGGCCTCTCAAAGTGCTAGGATTTTAGGTGACTCTTTCTTTCTTTCTTTTTTTTTTTTTAAAGACAAAGTCTCGCTTTGTTGCCCAGGCTGGAGGGCAGTGCTACCTAGGTTCGAGTGAGCAATTCTCTTGACTCAGCCTCCCAAGTAGCTCGGATTACACACGCATGCTACTGTGCCTAGCTAATTTTTTTTTTTTTTTTTTTTTTTAGTAGAAACGGGGTTTCACCATGTTGGCCAGGCTGGTCTCAAACTCCTGACCTCAAGTGATCCACCCACCTTGGTCTCCTAAAGTGTTGAGATTACAGGCATGAGCCACCATTCCCCGCCTCGACTAGTTTTCTTTGAGCCTGGAGGACGGCAGTCAGGTCTCATGAGACAAGGAGTGAGGTTTGAGGCAGTGGAGTGGGATTAAATGGGGATCCCAGCAGCTGGGCAGGCTGGGGCCCTGGTGGAGACAGAAGTCCCATGGGGAGGGCTGGTGGCGGCCATGAGAGACCTGGCTTCAGGGCTTTATGTCCCTCTCTCCAGTATCTGTCCCTGTCTTTGTACCTAGATTGAGCAGAGGGCTGCAGAGGTGCTGGCATTGAGCAGAGAGTAGGAGGCCTTGGCTTCTGTGGGCCGCTGGCTCGTTCATCCCCAAGCAGCTGTGGGTGCAAGAGTATGCTGGACCCTATTCCGGTGCTGGAGGGCAGCAGCCGGACGAACAGAACTCTCTGCCCTTGTAGGGCCGAATTCTGGTGGCAAAGGCAGGCACACAGGACAGTAATCAGCAGGTGAGAAGGCATGCTGTGGAAAACAGAGCACGTTGGAAGGAGAGGCGGACATACCTGTGACATTGGCTTTGACTGCAGTTTTGTTTTTGTTTTGTTTTGTTTGAGACGGAGTCTTGCTCTGTTGCCCAGGCTGGTGGAGTACAGTGGCGTGATCTCGGTTCACTGCAACCTCCACCTCCCAGGTTCAAGTGATTCTCTTGTTTCAGCCTCCCGAGAAGCTGGGACTCCTGACCTCAGGTGATCCACCTGCCTCAGCCTCCCAAAATGCTGGGATTACAGGCATGAACCACCGTGCCCGGGCTTGACTGTGGTTTTAAAGCGGGGTTCAGAATGTGCTCACTTAGAGGGTGAGGGGGTGGGCAGCGTGGATGATAATAGTAACAACAGTAGCAGCATCCATTGTTTGAGCAGGAACTATATGCTACACACCTTTTTTTTCTTTTGTTTAAGACAGGGTCTCTGTTACCCAGGCTGGAGTGTAGTGGCGTAATCTCAGCTCACTG